CAGTGATTATACGATCTTGTTGGGTCGATATGTTATCAGATAGAGTTGAGAATAGAAATCATTTTGGGCTAGTATGCTGCATTTTTAATAATAATAATAATTTATATTTCGTATAAACAGGTAGGTTTACAAGAAATGCATACCATCCTTACAGGCACGATCAGTAATGTCTTAAATTACAATCGTGAAGTATCATAAATTAAGACTTTTTCAAAAGTTTCAATTGTTCAATTATTGTACAAGCAATTAGAACAGGTTCTTATAAATGTTAAATTGTAAACCGTTTACTAAGGTCACCCACCATCAAAGTTGAGCGACAACCCAAACTTCATTCTGTTTCCTGATGATAGTTATGGTCAACCAGTATTATTTATTATCATATCCTTTAATTCCTAGAGGAACATAGGGCTTCAGCTGTGCGTCTCCATTGCCTTCGGTTTTCTGCCAACTTTTTCACTCCGCTCATAGCCTGCTCACATGCTTTCGTCTCCTCTTTACATGATATCCTCCAAGTCACCCTTGCAATGACGACCAACTCGCCACCCGCTTCCCTTTCGGATTCCACTCGAGCAATGGCCTGTCGTGTGATGTCACTTGATGGTTGGTTTCCTCAGAGTATGGCCAATCCACCTCCATTTCTTCCTGCCTATTTGTTTCACAATCGGTTCCTGGTTGGTTCGCACCCAGAGATCCCCGTTGCTGATGTTTTCTGGTCAGCCATCTGATCTTGAGTATTGAGTGAAGACAGCTGTTGATGAAGGTGTGTAGTTTGTTTGAGATGCTCTTTATGACGCACCAAGTCTCTGATATGTATAGTAGCGCTGACTGACTTCACATTGGAGTTGCGAATCCAGATCTTATTATTGATGCTGAGTGCTGTTGACGTCCACACAGACTTGAGAGCAATGAAAGCTTGTCTGGCTTTTCCGATTCTGGCTTTGATATCCTCGTTAGTTCCGTCCGCCTGTAGTTGAAACGATGCTTCCCAGGTAGGTAGGTAAAGGAGGTTGTTTCTTTCAGGTTCCTCCCATTTATACCGATTGTTGTCTGTAGTTGTTATTGCTGCTGTTGGTGTTGGCCAGGAATCTTCATCACCTCTGTTTTATCTATGTTCACTTGAAGTCCTATCTTTGATACATCTTCTGCCAGCTTGTTGCTTTTCACTAGTATATCTTCCAGTTTGTGGGAAATCAGACATATATCTTCAGCGAAGTCCAAATCCTTAAAGCCTCTTTTTGTGTGGGTCCATTTTATGCCTATTTCCTCATTGCCCGTTGTCTGTCGCATTATCCAATCTACTGCAATCAGGAAGACCATTGGCGATAGTTGATAGCCTTACCTCACTCCCGTCCTCACTTCGAAGGCTTCCATAAGTTTCCCATTGTCGTTTACTTGGCGACATGCAGCATTGTCGTACAACTGTTGGATGAGATGCATAATTGTCAGTGGCACCCCGTAGTGGCGAATTAGTTTCCAAATCACCTCTCGACAGACACTGTCGAATGACCCATATATAAATCTTAAATTCACTGTGAGACATGAAAGTGATGGTAGGTTTTGTTTCCTTAACATCACCACCCCACTCCTGGAAAATTGTAGACTCTGGAGAACGACTCCTCAAAACTTCAACATGGAAGTGACAGCAGTTACATTTTAATAATTTTTGTTCAATTAGCTGTAAAGTAGCACTGGTTAAAGCGCTGTTTTATAGAATCAGGAGGACATGTTCTGCAAAGAAATTAGAGAAATAACTTCCGGTTCTCGAAAATACATTGAAAAACAATGACTACCTTACGAAATTTACTAACAAATGAGGAAGATGTGAAGGTTCAAATGTCAGGCAAATCACAGTGGAAACGGGGCCTGTCTTCACTCAACTCGACTTTACAGGTGATAACACTGCTGGAATACTCAACAGAAAAAATTGAACACCTCACTAATCAGAACCTACTCTGAAGATAAGTTGGTTCCTGTTTATCGGTCAACATCCTCTTCGGCGCGAAATAAGGTCGACAGATACCCTTCTCATGTCAACTCTAACTGTGTATACCAATTTACGTGTATCTGAAGGAGTAGTTATATTGGGAGAACAGAAAGAATGGCACACCACCGATTTTATGAACATGTACCGATAAAAAACCGACATCTCAAAGGGATAAACGTTTACAATAGTACCACTGTCAAACAATTAGTCGATACGCACTACTATAACGTGGATACTACGAAATCCTTGCAAAATTATCAATAGACAAAATTATTCAAATTCTTCCCGATTACTATCAAACGGCTGAAACTCGATTTATGTATTCAGAAAGAAGCAGTTTTTCCTTGCTCTCGTGAGTGGAGTTCTTCCATTTGACTACACAATCTTTGGCTTAAACCTCTCCCCCTTTCGCTACAGCGTAACTTTGCCTAATCTCTTGTTTCTACGATTCGAGTTAAACTCATCACATTGTTACTCAATTTATTAGTTTTATTAGATTTTCGCCTTCTACTTTTTTTTTCTTCTGTTTAATATCGTCTCGTCTTTCAACTTATGTGTCGATGTAATTCTACGAGTCGCTAATCAAAACATACTTTAACTAGATCTCGTGAAGTCGTATGACAGTCGGTCAATGCAGTTGTCATCTGAGACTGATGACAACCAGTGGTGCTGACGTTGTCGGGTGGCGTCGTATGTCTCCGTTTAATAGAAAAACAAAATTTAATTTCATCATAGATGTGCTAATCTCGATGTGACTTTGATCATCGTCTACGACTTTAGAATTGATTTGTTGATGGTGATTCGGAGTATGTGTGTGTGGAATATGTGAAAACGAGGAGCCTTGAGCAGATATCATTTTTGTATGTTTGGCACACGATTGATCTGCCCATCTATCAAATACAAGATCAAATTTTACAGGATTGACTCTGTACTGAGGCCTACCTAGTTTATTGGTACGCAGTCTAATTTGTTGAGCTTGTTTGAATGCTTCACACTTATTTGAACTGATTGCTGACAAAATTTTCAGTCACTAACATGTCTATACACGATATCTGAGTGTTGATTAAACAACGTGTGTGGGCAACTCTAAACAATACCAGCCCAAACCGAAACAACCTAGCGAACGCACAAGTGACCTAGACAAGGACAACTCCGGCCAATCAGAAGGCTCAAAAAAGCGGCGCATAATTTTTATAAAAAGTCGTTTATATAGAAGTAGTGCAATGTTTAAAAAAATAGTTACAAGGGATAACTTTCTTGTATATGTGTGCGTCGGTGGCATAGCGGTTAGGACGCTTGCCGGCCATGCACATGGTCCGGGGTTCGATCCCCGGCCACCGACACACTCCTCCTTTACCTCGCTAAGCCAGAAATAATGCTGGTAAAGAGGAAAGGTTGGTCATGAGGCTGGCTAGCTACCCCATCCTGTAAAATTAAACACCACTGCTACAGAAACACTTCATGCCACTAGCTTGAAGGCGCCCTATTATGTTCCACTAGGGGAACGTGAAGGGAAAAAATATGTTGCAGAAAAACCTCCCAATTTCTCATAGGAATCTTCGTACTCATGTTAAACGAAGTCCTGTGCATAAAGTCATCGATATAACTGTATATCATTGCATTTCTTCATTCATGTGCGTCGGTGGCACAGTGGTTAGGACTCTTGCCGACCATGCACATGGTCCGGGGTTCGAGCCCACGCCGACGCACACCTGATATCTATGGTCGGCCTGCGAATTTTGGGCTACCGATATCCACGCTGAAAATTCCATACTTGTATCAAAAATACGGTGTGGAATCAAGCTGTAATCAAAAATAAAATAAAAAAAATAGTTGGTTTATTATGCCTTTACGTTCCTAGTGTAACATAGGGCACCTTCAAGTTAGAGGCTTGGAGTTTCTGTAGCAGTAGTGATTATTTTTACCGGATAGGGTTGCTATCCAGACACATTCCCAACCATCCCTCTTCACCAGTCTTATTACTGGTTTAGCGAGGTAAAAGAAGGCATCTATGGCTGGGGATCGAACCACGGATCATCTAAGGTGTGGCTGGCGAGCACTCTACCGGTGTGCCACCAACGTACAATTTATTAGTCACCAACCATCTTGTTCACCTTTTCTCTTTATTACCCCTTACTCATGTAAGATTGTGTCCAAATCTTCATTTTTGTTCAAACTTAAACACTTCCTACTTGTAAGCCACATAAGTGTAGGTTTTCAGGGATTTGATTGGCCCCACAGAATTGATCACAAGATGGCATTAGCGCTAGAGAACCAATGGAAAACCAGCATGGAATACTGAACAGCTGTTTCTTCTTGGTTTGAGACTCTTTATCAGTACGCACCCATACGGATCTTCCAGTTACCAGGCGACCTCGTAGACTATTCAGCACCTGGGACAAAACCCAACCCAATGATCCGTGAATTCCAACTTCTGACAATATATATATATATATATATATATATATCCAATGAAACGGGCGAATAACTGGCCTCTGCTTCTCTAAATGATGTCAGCTCGCGATTGATCCTGTAACCAGTTAAATCTGTACAAACCAACACTTGACAAATAGTCTGGTGCTCACTAGCAACTGGCTCTATAGATAAAGTTCTAGTCAGAAGTTGTAACCAGAGGAGTCCATCGAGTCAGTTGCTATCTCTCCATTCAGTAGAAAGGGGGGTTAGAAATGGTCGACCCCGAAAATTGTACATCCCGACTTACCTCACCTACGGTGGTCCGTAACCGGCGATAAGTTTACTGAATACGGCACCTAACCAAGAAACTAGATCATACAGGCCGTGTGCGAACGGCTGGCCTCAAGCAGTTGTCTCTTGGGATCTGCTATCACGCAACTTAAACCTCTTTCTGTTTCAGGCACCCGAAGAATCAATCAACTTCCACGGTATTGGTGGGGCAGCCGGGAAGTAACAACTGTCCACACACTTCCATTGCAACTTCATAGCTCCATCTCGAAGCTCTCTACATACCACTTAGAAGTGAAAAGAAAAACAAGAATGAACATTGGAATGATAATTTATACTCAAATTATTTGACAAGAAGACGTGGTGCAGAGCGCGAGGGGGGGGCATCGGTGGGTTGGGCTGGGGTGGAATATAAAAACCATACATATATGTATATTACAAACTATTCATTGTTCACTATTGAATTCTTTTTCAATTATCGGCCATATTTTTGTTGTAACAAAATTTTCAATTGACTTTAATTCACTGATTGGCAAATGATTGAATGAAGATGGTAAATTGATGTATGGTTCACAGACACATTGAAAGGTGTCATTTCTAAAAATTAACAAAAAATAAAAGTGGAGACTGTTACATGTTGAAAAAAAACATGCAGACAAATCGAGATTTCAGCGTTGGTGGCACAGTGGTAGAATGTTCGCCAACCACACACCTCAGGTGGTTCGGGGTTCGAATCCCGGTCGCCAACACACTCCTTTACCTCGATAAACTAGTAATAAGACTGGTAAAGAAGGAAGGTTGGGCATGAGGCTGGTTAGCAACCTCATCCCCGTAAAAATAAATGCCACACTACTAGCGAAACTTCGAGACTATGGCTTGAAGGTGCCCTATGTTCCAGTAGGAATGTAATGGAATAAAAAAAGGATTTTCAGAGTCTATAAATGGGTTGTACAAAAATGTGACAGGATTTCATCATGCGCTGACATTGGTTAGAGAACCATTGGAAAACCTGAGAGTACTGTCAGACAGCTGTTTCGTCCTAGTTTGGGACTCTTCATCGGTATGCACCCACCGCCAGGGTTTGAACCCAGTACCATCTGGTCCCAAACTAGGCTGACGAAACGGCTGTTCAGTACTCCCTGCAGGTTTTCCAAATGGGCCCTAACCAATGTCAGCTCATGATGAAATCCTGTAACCAATCAACCAAATCCCCACAAACCGATACTTGAAAAATGTGACAGTTGAACTTGTCGCTTTTCATTAAAGCACATACACATACACACAAAGGTTGTAGAGAACAAAATTGACTCGTTGTCGTTCAAAAACTACAGATAACCAATTTTTGCGCCCTACGATATAGCTAGTGAAGTGGTAGAGCACGTTGACCACTTCACTTATTCGGGAAGTTGCATCAGCCAGTGCCAACGGATTAATCTCTGACAAAATCTCAGCACGGAGACAGAGGGCTAGTTTCGCATATGCCAGTTTACGCCGTCTCTGGCTTAGTAGACGTGATATCCGGCTGGCTATCGACCAAATGGTGTGTGCACTACTCAGAACTCCGCTCCTTTCTCCTATATGGCTGTGAGTGAAACATGGCCATTGAGAGTGGAAGACATGAAAAGACTGGCCGGTTAGCTGTCTTTGTTCATAGGTGCCATCAGTCTCCAGTCATTCATTCTTGGTATAACCAGGACTCCTAGTCACACACCCCTATGTGATTGGCTCAAAACCGACACTCATAGACTTTACACAATGACACACCATGTTTTAATTTGACCAACCTAACTCTTCCCTGACCTAATACTATGTCAGCGAATTTTGTTTCTTAAGAAAGCCAATGGGCTTGCCATGTTTGGCTGGACCACACTTCTTCAATCGATGGAGCTATACAACCTCATTAACTGAATCTACACAGCCCGTGTAAATACTATAAACCTAACCCAATTATTAATCATTATATAATACCATCTAACGTAAGAAACAGAATTAATATATGCGTGAAACTTGGGCACTGTGGTGATAGTAAGTAATTCCATATTAGTTTGTTTATTAGATGTATCACACAGTCAATGAAACAGTATTATTTACTGGATGACAAAGTTTCGAACAAAATTTATCATTCTTCATAATCATTTCATCAATTATAATCACACAACTTCGAAACTCAATTTTTATAGTTTTCTTTGTTCGCTCCTATTTGTCGTCGTCGTGGGTGTGGTAGTAGAATTTTCCAGATGTCCAACTGGACAGGTGTTGAGTCATTCCTATTACATGTATTCCCTCTCAGTTGATTCGATAAACAAAGCTTCCGTTGTTATCAATCTCTCTCCCTCCACCGTGCTGTTACATTAGATTTTAAAACTGTCATCTTATCCCGTCCACCCTATTGTATGGTTGTGTGTAATTGCATGCAGTGAGTGCTACAGCTGAACTATTCTCAGATTTCTCATCATATTCAAGTCAACTAATCTAGATTTTTCTGCTAGCTTTTTATACTCGGCTAGCCTGACTGTCTGACCCCGTTCTACTAGTTTGACCTATATATTTGACCTCACTGACAATCATTGCAGGTAGGGTATTAGATAAACTAAATTGTTTTGTTTTAAAGGCTTCACATGACTGAACGGGACCAGTCAGTCAGACTAGGCGAGCATAAAAACCTACCAGCAAAATCTAGATTAGTTGACTTGAATAAGATGAGAAATCTGAGAATAGTTCAGCTGTAGCACTCACTGCATGCAATTACACACAACCATACAATAGGATGGACGGGATAAGATGACAGTTTTAAAATCTAATGTAACAGCACGGTGGAGGGAGAGAGATTGATAACAACGGAAGCTTTGTTTATCGAATCAACTGAGAGGGAATACATGTAATAGGAATGACTCAACACCTGTCCAGTTGGACATCTGGAAAATTCTACTACCACACCCACGACGACGACAAATAGGAGCGAACAAAGAAAATTATAAAAATTGAGTTTCGAAGTTGTGTGATTATAATTGATGAAATGATTATGAACAATAATAATGTTTGTTCGAAACCTCGTTATCCAGTAAATAATAATACTGTTTCACGGTGTGGTATATCCATCTAATAAACAAACTAATATGGAACTAAGAGACAGAAGACAAACAACTTAGGTCAATGCGATAGCTAGGTCCTTTATTTCTTTCTCCACTTTCAATGATCATGTCTCACAGCCGTATATAGAAGGACAGAGCGAAGTGCTGCTCAGTGTAATCACCTCCTTTGATCGATAGCCAGATATCACACATCTACGCTAGAGATGATGTAAGATTAGCGAATGTCATACTAACCGTTTTTTATCCCTGTTAGCAGTTTATCACCAAGCTCAACTTTGGTGACAGCTGGCTGAGAACAAGCCAACATTGTAGACAGCAATTTACGTCAATGTTCACTTCTCCAATTAGGGGCATGAGAAAAAACACAATAACAAAGCTTAACTTTGAGGAACTCAGCAACCATGCACAGCAGACTTGACGTGTGCAAGTACGATTCGCAGATATAAGGCTTAACTTTCTGAGAAACGGTCACAAGCAGTACAAAATAACCTTCAGCAAGGAAATAACCAATCAGAAGACGCTGCTTCTCCTCTGACAATAATGTACATAAAAATCTATAAAATTTCTGTTGATTTTGTGAATAAACGATCTGTAGCCTGGCCCTTGTCTTCTGTCGTTACACTACTCCTTATTGGGACTGATGTAATTTTCACTCCCATATTAAACTTGGTATGCAATGAAGGGTACCAAGAGATGATACATCATATTTATTTTTAAATATTCCACTGGAGATAAACATTTTGAAGACTACTCACTAACTACTCACTCATAACGACACAGAATTAAAGCAAAGCCTTGCAAAGGCTGACAAAATTGAAGACACCACAGCTAGTAAGAAAAAAGATAATCGAAAAGGAACACGTTGCTAAAAATGTGATTGCAGTTTATATATCAGTACGCTGTCCTAAAGGACAACCTCCCTAGCAAGCCTTCGACCTAAAGTCTAATCCACAAGGTAGTGCAGCAGCGCTCCCATATAGAGAGCTTGCAGGCATCCACGATCCAGTAGTTAAGACAAATGTGCTGGAGATGCTGTTGAGAGGTCAGACAAAGGCAGCGTACAAAACTGTGGAATAGGCAGATGGTAGTGGAGTTAGACATCCTGATGGACAGATACCAAGTAATGCAGTAGTTCCGTGCCACCAAGCCTGTGACATGGCAGAGACCCACTGGTATTTGTGGTGAAGCTGACAGGTCTACTTCATTGGGCACCCACCACACTTGCCGGTTATTATTATTATTATTATTATTATTATTATATCCTTAAATTCCTAGAGGAACATAGGGCTTCAGCTGCACGTCTCCATTGCCATAGGTTTTCTGCCAACTTTTTCACTCCGCTCCAAGTCTGCCCACATGTTTTCATCTCCTCCTCCAAGTCACCCTTGCACTGACGACCAACTCGACGCTTCCATTTCGGGTTCGACTCGAAGGCGTGTCTAGTGATGTCACTTGCTGGTTTCCTCAGAGTATGGCCAATCCATCTCCATTTCTTCCTGCCTATTTGTTGCACAATCGGTTCCTGATTGGTTCGATCCCAGAGATCCCTGTTGCTGATATTTTCTGACCATTTGATCTTGAGTGGTATTGAGCGAAGACAACTGTTAATGAAGGTCTGAAGTTTGTGTTAAGATGCACTTGTCGGTTACTCCAGTTTATCGAAAGCGTCCCAGAAAACACACTGTTTAGCAATTACAATTAGTCAACACTGTAGCACAATCACAATAGGTATTGATGAGATCCCGAAGGTAACATGAAAGCTACTCAGCACAAATACAGCAGACAATACAGCGGCCAAAAAATTACCTAGCTGGGATAGATTTGCAGCACACAAAGTAGAGGTGCCATGAATAACCGCCAGAAGAGAACCACAGCTTTCCATGTCACAAATCAGGAGACTAGAAGAGAAATATCTTCCGGAAAAACTGAACAGAAAAAATTTCAGACAGAATACCGCGTTTCCTTTCTCTCCCATAAGACTAGAAGTAGTTGGGACAATCTAGCATTGGGAAGGAGGGTGAAGGGGACACTATATATGCCCAAAAAGTAGTATGTTTAATACTAAACAGAGGTGATACAGTCTGTCTCTCTGTTTTCGACATAGAACTTAGCACCGATGTGCAGTAGTTCGAGTCGCCATACGCCCTCTAAATTAGCAATCAAAGCAATAGAAGAAAGTAGAAGAAATGCTAAATAGAGACAGTTGACAGGGATATGAGACAAAAGGAATAGTAATAACGAAGAACAATAGAGTTACATTGGAAATCAAAGTCACAAGGAGTAGATGCATCTGCACCAGCCATTGAGAAGGATTTTGAGCCATATCACCAGTTGCCTCCAGCCATTGGTTTTTACCGTCCCGGGGACCCCAACCAGCCAAGAAGTCTACACCTTCCTACGTGGCTTAAACTAATTGTTATGGATTTCATTGACTGGTGAGGCCATGTTTTGGTTTGAATGCCGTTATCTCTTTTCCAGACTGACCCTGTCAGGTAAAATTGCCCATTGTCGAGGAAGGCGATGACGAGGCATACGTAACACATGTCCTAACCATCTCAGTTTTTGTAACTTCACAACTTCGTCAATTGATTTCCCCTGTTTACCTAGCACCTTTGATCGAAGACAGCTAACCTTTTCATGTCTTCCACTCTCAATGGCCAGGTCTCACAGCCTTACAGAAGGACGGAGCGGAGTGCCGAGCAGTACACTCGCCCTTTGGTCGATAGCCAGTCGGATATCACGTCTACTAAGCCAGAGACGGCGTAAACTGGCATATGCGAAACTAGCCCTCTGGATCCATCCTGAGATTTCGTTAGAGATCAACCCGTTGAGGCTGATGGTACTTCTCACTAATAGACAAGAATTTTGTCAGTAACCGCGCAAGCTATAAAAAGACAAGCAAAAAATACACAAACTCTTTGTAATTCTCTCCCAAAATATGGTACCAACTTACTCAGTTTTTGAATCTTTAAACAATGTCACACGTACAGCAGTTCTGTTAGCTTGTGTTGAGAATAATAAGGCTTCATAACATCGATCTCTGGTAGAAGGTATCGAAGACGTGGCATTTATATTATTATTATTCACGGACAGAGAATCCACCGGATGAATCGGTGGAATATATTGAAGTGACAGAAATGGAATAGACGGTTCCGATAAGAAAACTCCACATTTCCTTGTGTATCCTAAAAATACAAATATGACAAATTATTATTTGTGAAATAAGTGTTACGTATTGGTTTTTGTAGAGATTTAGTTTGATTCGTCCCAGTTTGGGACTCTTCAGCAGCTGTCCAGTACTCCCTGACTGGTTTTCCAGTGGTTCTCTAACGCATGTCAGCTCATGATGAAATCCTCCAACCAAATAAATGTTACACATAAGATATGAGAAATTAAAAATACGCTCAAGACGAAATTTGACAACTGTAATTCACAATTCTTTTTCCTTCAATGCCATTTCAATTGGTACGTACATAGAGCTTTAAAATTTGAGCTTTAGGGTTTTTTAATAGGGGGTGGTGATGCTGTTAAGGTGTAGAGGTATACGCCTAACTCACGCCCAACTCCTTCCGTCTTTTCCATGGCCTTACTAATGGGCTAGTAAACGAGGTGAGGTTTTAAAAGTTCGTCGTCTAACAAGACTTTACTCGCGCTACTGAAGAATATCATGTTATATTCAATTGTTGGTAGTTAGCAGTGCAATTTTACGATATGCGTTTTATCCTGGTAGGGACCCGTCGACTGATAGTATTGCACTGGGGCTCGAACCTAATACAACTTCCCTTCATCGCACAGCACTGTGTCACAGAGTGATCAATATTCTGCTTTTTCTACACAATTTCTCAACTGTCTGTCTGTCTGGATTCAACATAGAACTTGGCATCCAAGTGCAGCAGTTCCAGTTGCCACCTTCCAAATAGCACACAGAGGTAGACAAGATGAGTGAAGAGAATTAATAGAGTTTGACAAGTATAAGAGTGAAACAGAATGAGTAATGGTAGAAAGGAATATGAAAGATTACAGAGACTGAATACATCTTCGCTGGCCATTGACAACGATTTTGAGCCATGTCACCTATTGTCTCCAGCCATTGATTCCTAGAGTCAGTCCCGAGGGCCCCAACCCGGGAGTCTGCATCTCCCTCCCTACCTGACTCAGTTTAACTGTCAAGGATTTCATGGATTGATGAGGCCATGTTTTTGTTTGGCCACCACTGGCTCTTTTCCAGCCTGCACCTATATCAGCTAGCAATGCCCGTCGGGGGGGTGCCTATTCTTTTCCTTCCACAATTCTTAACCACTGGCAAACAGAAGACAGTATGAGGATCAGCTGGGATGATACTAGTAACAGACATCCAAGCCATTGGGGAGCCAGTGTTTCAAGACTCCACTGCATGCAAACACACGTCGTCACCGGACCGAATGCAGGCAATTGTATAGAGAAACACAACGATCAGCCATGCAGAGTTGCTGCACATCTTCAACTCTCAGAGGTTGTTAGGTTTCACAGGCATAAATAGGCCAAGGCTGCAGTCACTCTGGCATTGTAAACTCAACTTTTGATAACCAGACTAACATCACACAGGGCGCCAAAAGTGATCAGGGTTGATGCATGAGCTATCCTTAAATTCCCATACACGATTACAGATCGCATCATCATCATCATCAGTCGCACCTTTCCTAGTACTCATACACCACCACCTAACTAGGTATGCAAACTTCTCTCCTACTTATGATAGTTCACTTGAGACAATGAGTGCCAAATTATTTACCAGTTTTATTTGCAACTGGACAGTGACTCCTAATACAAACATCTCCATAGTCTCTGAAACAGGTTAACAATACATGATGTTTATTCAAGTGCTGGTTTGTAGGGATTTGATTGGTTATTTTTCTATTGATAGTTATAGTTAGCAATGAAACCTTGCAACAGCATTTCGTCCCACCTGGGACTCGCCAGTTAGATTTACTCGCATTCCTAGAGGTTGATGGTTTTCCCCAATGACCGGCGGAGGGGGGCGGGGAGGAATACAGGTATGTACACAGTTGAAGAATCTCAAACACTACTTATTTACTAATTCAGTAGCATTGTCTACTTAATTGTATCATGTATAAAACAATGCAATTGATTCAATAAGAACGAACTAAACTACCTAACTAACTGACGAGGTAATAATAATAATAATATTAAAAGTGAGACCTGTGAAAAGTAAGAGTTGAATTATTAAAGCAAAGCAAATAGAATACAAGACATTCATACATGCATACACACATCTTGTGTTTCCACTTCCTGCGTTTTTAGACGCGAATAAATAAGTGTCTGTTTGTCTGTGCGTACGTGTGTCTAGGTGTGTGTGTGAATACGAAAGCGAGTGCAAGCATGCCACAGCAAATAAGAGTAAGTAAAATAAAATCGATTTTATACTGAAGACTAAAGATAAGGTTAGGTAGGGTAAACTTGATAGATTATTTTTGTTAATAATAATAATAATAATGATAAGTGATGATAAAGCCTGAAGCAAAAATATGGTCAGATTATGCGATTCGTGTCAAGAGCTGAACAGAAGTTTCGTCCTACTTTAGGACTCTTCATCAGGGGGCAACCAAACCAATCCCATCAAGATATCTGAATCCACTATAACAATGTAAAGTGGATGCTTATCAAAGGCACTGGTGCGTCGGTGGCACAGCGGTTGGGACACTCGCTAACCACACACCTCAGGTGGTCCGGCGTTCAATCACCCGCCACCGACGGACTCCTTTACCTCGCTAAACCAGAAATAAAAAAAACTGGTGAAGAGGAAAGGTTGAGCATCAGGCTAGCAGCCCCATCTTGTAAAAATAAACACCACTGCTACAGAAACTTCAAGCCTCTAGCTTGAAGTCTTATGTTCCACTGAAAACGTGAAGGAATTTTTTAAAAAGTTACAGAAATTAGAATTCACGAGTAGATGGATAGTTAACAATCTTGGTCTGAATAACGCGAAGGTTGAAGATTTACACCCTTATGTGGTTGTTGTAGGTGGGTGCTGATGAAGAGTCCTAAGATGGAGGAAACAAATATCTAGTGTTCTTTTGTTTATATTGATCTCTCTAACTTATGTTCATTTGTGATAAAATTTTGTCAACCTAAATTTTTATTTTGATAAAGTGTCACCACAGTGTGCTTGTTTTTACAGTAAATATTAACTAATGACCACATGCTTCGAGCACAAATTATTGCTGCTCATCGTCATCATATCAAGGCATTACTCACACACAACTTTCTTGCTTCGTTCATATACATGAGTAAAAATTGATGCGATTAGACATTTGACGAATAAAATCAATATAAGATAGAATACATTAGGAAATAAGATTAGTATTATCAGTGAAATACAATCAGATGGGAAATAAGATGCTTTAATAGTAAAATAAATAAATAACTTGCTAGAATGTCATAATGAACTCGGATTGAAATAGAACTTTAAGATTATTTATTATCCTTCTCTGATTTGATTGACTGATGGTAACAATATCATCCATATCTCTGGTCTGTCTGTCTGTTTTCGACATAGAACTTTGCACAAATGTGCGGAAGTTCAAGTCGCCACACTCCGTGTAGCACGCGAAGCAAGAGAAGAAAGTACAAGAAAAGCATAATAGAAACAGTGAGCAGAGGTGTGAGACAAAGGAGTAATAAAGAAAAACAAAACAGTTTCATTGGAGATCATAAGTCACAAGGAGTGGATGCATCTGCCGCCACTGAGAACGATTTTGAGCCATGTCACCAATTGTTTCCAACCATAGATTTTTACCGTCCCGAGGACCCCACCAGTCAGGAAGTCGACACCTTCCTACGTGGCTTAGACCAACTGTTGTGGATTTCATTGACTGGTGCCAAGTTTTTGTTTGACCGCCGCTAGCTTTTTTCCAGCCTGACCCTATATCCGCTAACATTGCTCGTCGAGGGAGGCGATGGCTTGGCATACGTAACACATGTCCTAACCATCTCAGTCTTTGTAACTTCACGACTTCGTCGATTGATTTCCCCTGTTTACCTAGAACTCGACGCCTAACCTCAATGTTGCTCACCTTATTATGCCACTTTACACGGGAATAGAGCGGAGGCACCTATGATCAAAGACAGCTAGTCTTTTCATGTCTTCCACTCTCAGTGGCCAGGTCTCACTCACAGCCATAAAGGAGGACGGAGCGGACTGATGAGCAGTACACCCGCCCTTTGGTCGATAGTCGAACATCTCGTCTACGCCAGAGTCGGCGTAAACTAACAAATGCGAAACGAGCCCCTTGTATTCGTGCTGAGATTTCGTCAGAGATCAGCCCGTTGGGGCTGATGGTACTTCCCAAATAAGTGAAGCGGTCAACGTGCTCTACCACTTCACTTCCTATTTTTAAACTAGGCGTCGATGTAGTCAAGTCCTGTAACATCATCTTGCATTTGGCGGGAGCGAATCGCATGCCAAACATTCGTAGATTGCGGCTAAAGGTGTTTAGAAGACTCTGCATTTCGTCAGCGTCTTCGCCTAGAAGGACTATATCGTCTGCATATTCCAAGTCAACAAGATTATTCCCTGCTGGTAGCAAGTCAATCCCTGAATCGCTGAAGTCACTTAGGGTTAAGTCCATTAACACATATATGATGAAGTTGAATAGAAAAGGAGATAATGGGCAGGATTCAGTAATCAATCACTATCTCTCTTCACCTTTCTATATTACATTTTAGAATTGTAACTCTGTCCCACCCACCCTACACTTTGTGGTTGTGCGTTGTTAATGCATGCAGTGTAATGTAGCGCTGAGCTTTTTTCTAAATTACTTATCTTCGTGGATGGGATCAATCATTCTAACCTTAACTAAATTCTTATGTTCCGACAATCTAACTACTCCTGTCTCATCTACTAGTTTGACTGACCTATATAGTTGACTTAACCCACAGTCATTGTAGGGTATTTTGTAAATTATATTATTTTGTTTAATTGAGTCAACCAGGTCCTTTTGGCCTACAGAGCTTGTCTCATCTTATTTCCCATCTGATTATACTTTATTGATAACACTAATATTATTTCCGAGTGTACTCTTATCTTATATTGATTTTATTCGTCAAATGTCTAATCGCATCAATTTTCACTCATGTATATAAATGAAGCAAAACGTTGTGTGAGTGGTGCCTTGATATGATTATA